CAATCCAGCCTAAAACTAACCACAAGTAGAAGTCCTTCCTTCTCTTTCTTTTAACCCACCCATTCACCAGAGAGAGTTATTTTTTTAAAATAATAACATGGTTTTTAAGTCCACAAAGGCATGATACAACAGTTTTATTTCAACTTAAATCAATTGAACAAATATGCTTCTAGTTGGGTTACATTTCGAATTCATTAAAATTAAAGTTGTGTATATTTTTTTGTAATTAAAATATAAGCATATACTAGTAAACATTTAATTTCTATAGATGCCTATCTCATCAGGGAGTCTAGGTAGCTTACAAAAAATTAAAATCAAAACAAAAAACACACATTAAACAATATACACAATATATAAAGGAAAAAACTCATACAGAACATGCCTGAGTTTCCCCCCCCCCCCCAAAAAAAAAGTTCCATTTCAGTCACAAAGACAAAATTAACAATCACTGGGGATCACCCAATTACCTGGTCCAAATACATGTGGGAGCTTCCAGATCTTTAATGCTTTAAAAGAGGCCAAGAGGGTTGGGTCCAATGGGAAAGGCTGTTTCATTATTTTATAATAATTTTATTAAATATTACAACTTATAAAATAAAAACTAATACAAACTTAAAGGAATAAAAAGTAGAAGGTACAGAAAAGCAGAAATTAAAATCAAAAAGAAAAATAAGAATTTGGTGAAGAAGAAAATATAAAGTACCATTATATAGTACTAAGATGAAATGTAAGAAGATATAAGGTCTTGTAGAAAAATCACAATCACTATCTGGTTTTTCACCAGGAAAAAGCAGAAATTATCATTCCTTTCAAGCTTTTACCATTTCATTATTTAATATATTATTAATATTATTAATACATCAGAGTGCTCTTGTACCTTTCAGATGTAGTGGGTGAAATTGTTCTGAGAAGCAGCTGATTCTTCTGATCTAGTCATAGTCCTAGGAATCCTAGACTCTTTATAAGTGGATAAGGATCACAACAATGTGGGCGGCCAACTTTCTCCCTCAGGCTGTAAATTCCTACCAATCTTGTGGAGAATAGTTCGATTCCATTTCACAATAAGATTGGTAACCATACTATATTCAATAGTCATTAGGAATTATCTTTCTCTAATGTATTTTGTAACAGGCAGGTTTCTGTTGTGGATCTTCCTTCTTATATAGAGTAGCAAGAGTAGAAACTGAGAAGTTTTAGAAAGCAAGAAATGAAGTGATTTGGATCCTTAACATTTCTGCTCAATGCTTATTGTGTCCTTGATTAAGCAAATCCTTCCCTATTCTCATCCTCTTTTCAGTGAAAATTCAGAAACAATTCTTTCATTTATAATTCATATAGTGTAGCTTCTAAGTCTAACAGGTTGTAATAATGTATGCTTTTTCAATTTTAAAACTTGCCTTGCATTCCTGTCTATTGATCCACTGTTCATAAGTGCCACCATTCCTAAGTTCCACATTTCAGAGACTTTAAAACTATTCCTCATAGTGGAAAACATACTATCTTAAAATAAAATGAACTTTAATGTGTCCATCCATACCATGTGTTTGTTTTATACTATGTAATAAATGTAAATTAATCTATTTATCATTTGTCTTTAATATTGCACAAAATATGTTAAGCCATAATTTAGTAGCTTTGAAATTAGCACTATATCTTTCAACTTTAATTAAACTATTCTGCCATTGTATTTATTGCCTCTCTTGAACTGCTATAAATCAAGTACAATATGAGTGTGAGAAGTCACCATCGAAATACTGTAACTATAAACTGCACACTCCACATTGATGGTAGATTTCCAAAATATAATTGTAATCACATAAGTAGCACAAAGTATTTATTACATGCTGAAACTATAATGTGAGCATGAAGCATGGATGTCTTAAGTAAGAGAAGAGTAAAAGGTGATTTAAAAAATGGTTTTGGGTTTTATAACCAATAACATTGTACTTGTTGATTCAGATGTTGTCATGTATGCTGGCTTTATTTTTTTTATCCAGGTTTTTATATGTAAGCCTGAAAGAGCTTGAACAATAAGTTCTTCATTCCTATGCCTTTCATTGATTAAAAAAACACAATATTTTTGGATAAGAGTCCCCAAGGAAATGCTGACTCTAAAGTATGCCTTCCTATTTATCCTCTCCATGATGAAAGATTGACTGAATATGTGCCATCAAATTGGTGTCATCTCTCAGTGACCATCTAGATTTTAGTGAGAATAATCTGTCTATGATCTGGTCCTTCGGGTCCTGCAACTGCCACTACAACTGAGTCCATCCACCTTACTGCTGATTATTTTCTTATGTTTTTCTTCCAATTTTCCTAGCTTTATAGACTTGTCTAAAGTCTTTGCATAATGTATCCAAATTTGAGCTGGACATTTGTTCCTTGAGTGAGAATTTTTGGTTGATGGTCCATTTTGGTTTTCTTGTATATGATATTTTCAGCAGTCTTCTCCAACATTAAAGTTCAAAAGCATCAATAGTCTTTCTATTCTGCTTTTTAAAACATTTGCTTCCCTAGAGTATTACAGAAAAAATCTTTGTAAAGGTGCTTCAGAGGTGTATTTTGTAAGTTTACCCAATTCTTTATAGTGTATCCCATTTATTCTAGTTAAGTTTTACAATGCCTAATAGGCATCATAATAAACACAGGAAAAAAACGGGCCTGAGAGGAAAGAAAACATGCAGCTGGGAAATAAAACACATGAGCAAATCCGAAACAGTCATCCTGTTTTTCACTATCAGCTCCTAAAGACAGGAGAGGATGTCTAGCAAAGTCTATACAGTATTTAATGATAAGGAGCCTCTCAGCCTATCTGACTAGTCCATTTGGCAATGGAAGTTAGTAACCGTAAAATGCCATCTTCTCTTGAAGCCTGCTTGCAATGGAAATGTGGTCTTCCTCTGAGATATATTTGAATTACTGTCTTTGATGGAAGCAAGTGTGGATCAGGACTCAGTTTACCAAGTTTACATATAAGGTTTACATATCAGTTTACATATAAGGGTGAACTCTTCGATTGCTGAAGCTGTGCGGTGCTGGTGTGTACATTTGTCAAGTAAAAAAAGATGTTGAGACTCTAGAAAGAGTGCAGAGAAGGGAACAAAGATGATTAGGGAACTGGAGGCTAAAACATATGAAGAACAGTTGCAGGAACTGGGTATGTCTACTCTAGTGAAATGAAGGACCAGGGAGACATGAGAGCAGTGTTCCAATATCTCAGGGGCTGCCAGAAAGAAGAGGGAGTCAAGTTATTCTCCAGAGCACCTGAAGGCAGGACAAGAAGCAATGGGTGGAAACTAATCAAAGAGAGAAGCAACTTAGAACCAAGGAGAAATTTCCTGACAGTTAGAACAATTAATCAATGGAACAACTGGCCTCCAGAATGTGAATGCTCCAACATTGGAAGTTTTTTAAAAGATGTTGGATAACTGAAGTGGTGTAGTGTTTCCTGCCTAGGCAGGGGGTTGGACTAGAAAACCTCCAAGGTCCCTTCCAACTCTGTTATTCTGTTCTATTTTTATTATTCTATGCTTTTTGGGAAATAGTGAGGTTACATCAGATACAAAAGGGGTGAAAGAAGTGCCAACCACAAACAGATAATGGACAAATGCCAACTGAAAGTTCATGACTATTGTACAACAATCAGTACATATTCATAATGAATACAGTTATGCTGCCGCAGGAAAAAAAAAGTTTTATCTTGCTAGGCATATGAACACCATTTAGGACTTCAGGGGACAGTTATGTTAGCTGAATGCATAAGTGGTTGGTTCACAAACATGAAAAAAGGAATAGCTGGTTAACACGAAAGAATAAGCCAGACTAAGTATTATGTCTGAGCCCAATGACTGAGAAGAGCAGAGGAGCAATTGAGCTAATACAGCTCCAGCTTTGAACAATTGGCTGGCGTAATTGATGTAGAAGTGGCATAGCCAAATAGATTTAGATGGCAGAAGAAATAACTCCTGATTCAATACGAATTATGAGTGGAGTGGATGGGTTCCATTTCAATAGGCAGGGCCAAATAACCTACTCTGCAGTCCTTAGAGGAATGGTAAGATTTTGCTCTAAAACACAACCTCTTTGGGGCATAGATTCCTTTCAGAGTATGATGAGACTAATGGATTCCTTCTCAGAAAAATACAAGTTTTAAAAAAGTAAAATAGTTTAAATTTACTTTGTCATTGCACCTCATTTAATGAAATTAAATGCCCTCTTCAGTGTACATTATAACTATAAAAATAAAACAAATGCACATCCTTTGCATTCTGTACAATTGAATTGAAACCCCTGATATTGCATTAATAGTGCACTATATATAGTAGAATTCATTATAGTTACTGCTCTGGGATGGAAGCTGTTTTTCAGTCTATTTGTCCTTGTTTTTATTCTGTATGTCTGCCAGATGGTAATAGTTTAAAAAGGGTGCCCAGGATGAGATGGATCTTTAAGAATGTTTTGAACTTTCTTAATACATAAGACTACAAAGGAAACCAATCATGACCAGCAAAATCTAGTCACAGGTTTAAGAAGCCCTACTCAGAAGGATATTATAGCACATCACCTTTATGCCCAGAGATACCTGTAAATTTTCATGAGCTGTTTTATTGGGAGATGCTTGCTCAACATGCAAAGCCACGTTTTGCTTCAATGGAGCTTATTTAATAAAGCACAGTTGGCTGGCTTCACCACAAAATAAGTCAGGCTTCCAGCCTACATTGGACGAATTCATAGAAGCTAAGCCAAGACCGAAGAAACCACCTTGTGGCCGTAGCACCTTAAAGGTACCACTCTCAATTTGAATGAGGCACCCGAGGACCAGGTCGTACGATATGCACAAAACAGCTTTCATCCCTCACCGGCCCAGCTTCCTGGTGCCTCCTTAAGAGACAGGCGAAAGGGGCGGTCGAATTCTTTGTAGCTCCTCCTCCACTTGGCTAATTCACTTGCCTTACAAGGCTATAGCAAGAAGGTCTTTTTCCACGGAAGGAATCGAGCGAGCGCTGGGATCTTTGAAGCTTTGTGAAGGCAGAAGGAACAACGGCTCGAAGTTTTTTTTGTTTTTGGAGAATTGGGCTCTTGGGATCTCTGCTCAACCCGGTCCCAGTGGGGAGAATCAAGGGACTCTAAGTAAAGCAGAGAGCACGTAAGGAACCTCCTGCACTGCAAATCATCACTGTGGAATGGAAATGCCTTGGAGAGGTACATCGCTGGGAAACTGTACGGGTGGACGTTGCTGTTGCCTTTTTATTGATTTAGGACAGATTGAGGAAGAGTAAAAATGCCCTGTCAGAAGCTTGTTCATAAACATAGTGGCAGACTTAACTATGGTTTATCAGTTTATCAGTTAATTTGATTTTATAGGTTCGCATGGCACAATGGAACTTAGATAATTTCTCATGGTTTGGGGTTTGCAGAAGAGACTAGGCTAATATATAATTGGCTCATTTGTGTTGCTGTGTGATTTGTGAATACAGCTAAAGCATCTAATCCCTAAGAAGGTTTCTAACTCCCTGTTCCAGGGGGTATGTTATGTATTTTGGCCACCTGCAAGCCCTGTAGAAATCGGTATAGGTTGGCAATGGATGATGTTATGCTTATACCTGTGTACCTGTGTTTGAGGACATTGGATATTCAGAGTTGTACTCTTTACCTCAATATTGATTAAACATTATTTCATCAATAATGGATTGGCTGGAAATGTTTTCTGGGTCTTGTGAAAATATTTTAGAGTAACTCTTGGTTCCTGTGTTAAATTTTCAAGTCACATCATTAACAAGATTACCTTCTGACCAAGAGGAGTATTTTAAGTATGTTAAAACATAAAGTCAGTAGAGATGAAATTTGAGGAAACTTGTATCTTTGCAGAATTGAGAGACAGTGTTGTATGTCATTTTATTTTAGATGGAAATAAAAAATATACAAAAAGGCTTGGGTGTTTTTTATCTCCTAGAAGAGAATGCCATCTTTGGTGAAGATACTGTCACTATTCCTACTTTTTTTCTTCAGTGAATGATATAATATGTCATGCCTACTTGTTTTGATGTCATTGCCACTGAACATTGGCATTTTGCCTGTTTATATGTTGTCCTTTGCAGAAAACAAGATGCTTTCAAATGTTATTTCAAGAATCCATTAATTTGTTTTTATAACTGCTGATTTTTAAGAGGGTGTGTGAGGCTGTTTTCAGACTCATGTGCCTTATTCTGTCATTCAAAGGCACTCTGCAGCTTTTCTGTCTTAATAGATGTGTTTCTGGTTTTTCTTTAAGCAAAAGACAGTTGAAATGGAAAAATATAGGATGGTAACAAAACAAATATATTATTGTTTGAATCTCCTGTAAAAATTTCATCTTGAAGGCAAATGATAAAAAGTCTTGTTTGGAAACACCCTTCAGAAAATTATGTTTATGAAAATATGTGTTTGCTCATCTCATTGGTTTTGCAGAGATCTTGAAGTCTGCCATGTGGTTTGTAATCAAAAGTTTGGTTCCATATTTTCAAGTGCTGGTAAAATTGCAACCATGAGCACATTTATCTATGTAAGCTACACAGAAAAACAATTTAATCTGATGCAGCCTTCCTTGATCTGGTTACTTACTAATGTTGGTTTGGAATTCTGGCAGATATAATGCTAATACATCTGGAAGGCATCAAGCTAGAGAAGCTGCTTTGAACAATGATACATCAGATAATGCTGCACACTGATTTCTGCATAAACCAACTTAGCTTTATCAGGAAGCTAACATGAACAGCTATTGATTACAGTTGGATAATTTCTTCTTGTTCATTTGTCAATTAGGGATCTCCAACAAACATCTTTACTGAAAATTGCAGCAAAGCAGTATCCTGTGGACACATTCTGTATTCACATAAATAGATTCCTCTCCAGATGTCCTGCCAATGAAATCCTGAAGAAGACTCTACCCAGCATGTTTGAAGATTGGTGATAGAATGGAAGTGCTCCGTCGTTCTTCTGTCTTTGCTGCAGAAGTGATGGAAGTGTTTGACCGGACTCCCACTGACAAGGAGCTGGTATCTCAAGCCAAGGCGCTTTGCAGGGACTACATTCACTCCAGGCTCATTCGGGCTGGAATTGGCTGGAATAAGCCTGAGCACAGCTCACCTGTTCCAGTTGGCAAGTTAGCAGAAGTGTCCAGAATACTTTTAAGGTTGGGTAAGTGCAAAAATGGACAAAAGACAGGTCTGGCTAGTTGTGTTACAATGGTAGAATGCTTGTTATACCTCTGCTCTTTTCACCAAAAGTTACCTGTAATCTTACCTCCTGTGTCGAGTTCATCTAACAATTTGTTGCCTCTGTCTCTTTCTGTCTCAGGCTCTCTCTTCTTCTCAGGGTCCAAAATGGTAAAATCTATCCCACTGTCCCCTGCATTCAGTGAAAAGAGGGACAAATTTACATGGCTTGTTAATAAATCTATTTGCCTGTATTTTTAGCATGATTCCTCTTTTCTCACCTTGGAAAACATGTCTAGCCAATATGTTGTGCTAGTTGGCCAAGGGCTGCATTTGTTGGTCCTTTATCCATCATGTATATATGTTAATATTTGAAGTACTTAAAAACAGGCTGCTCTTCAATTACGGAAGAGGGAGGAAAGAAGTGGCAGGCAACATGTTTTTGGGAACTTGGCATGTATGTCTGTTTGAGAAGCAAAGGTGTAATATAATATATAAATAAAGCAAGCTTCTGTCATGCTTCAAAAATTATTTGACTAAAGGCAACATCAGGGCTATGATTGTGTGCTTATATAATTATAATCATATTATATTAAAATATGTACTATAGATAAATATATATGTTACAATTATTTATATATACACACACATATACACATGCACACATTGTATATGTGTATATATATGTGTCTGTGTATACAATATGTGTGTGTGTGTATGTATATATATATGATTACAATTAAATTGTGGGATACCTGATTTACAAATATAAAATATTTGATATAAATATATTACATTCCTAAATCAGGTATCCCACTATTTAGGTCTTTTAAAATTATTTGTTACTGACTTCAAGGAACGTATAATATAAAATTCTCCCTGGATGGAATCCTCATCACTCCCTTTGCATGCAGAGGTTTGTCATGTAAGATAGAGCTTCAACCTTATTTATTTTCAATACTGCAATTTATATGCTGCTCGGAATGGAAAAGGCTCTTATGAGATCATCTAAGCTGCAAAACAGCCCATCTACATTGTCTTGAGAGTGATATTGAGTAGAAATACATGTTTTGACACCATTGCCATATCAGAGGTATCCCTTCAGCAGCTAACTTTTCTGAATTTCCCTGTAATCGATCAAACGTACATCTGTTCTTGCCAAGAGCAGACTAGCCTCCAGTTCTCCTTGAACTAAGCTGTGATAAGCATCACATGTGCTGATGGCAGTTACAACAGATACATCTCACTATAACATACAGGCAATCTGCTTTCATTTGGTTTGAATTTGTGAACCATTTTGTTGAATGCAGCAACAGCGTTCTTACACCTTTCTTTTTTACAATATATTGAAAACAAAGGTAAAGTTTGTTCTTCATGCTCTCAGACTGGTTTGGGATGTGCCAGGACTAGCCCTAGATTAGCCAGGAGTAAGAGATGGCTTCTAGGATTTTAGGTGTTACGCCAGAGCAATATTTTCCTAATTGTTTGTATGGATGAAGAGGGAGGTGTACGTGCTGTTTTTTATGCATTAAGTTCCAAAAGAGCTTTGATGGTGTTCTTTATTCCGAGACTAAGATGGTTGTGCATGTTAGATTTCATAACAAGACATCAATTTGGTTAGAGGTGTTTTAGGCTTTATTTTTTGAGCTGAGTTTGGAATTTGCTGCTTTTGTGGATATCTATTGGCCAATTCCTAGAGAAGCCACTTTACTTTCTTCTACAAAGGTTATTTGAAGGGGAACAAAAACTATTTCTGGTGTCTTTATTGTTTATCCAAAAAATTTTTCTGTGACATTAAACATCAGTAGTGCTAATGATGTACAAAAGGAGGCCAAATAGCCTTTCTCATTATGATTATTTATGTGATTATTATCTTACATCATGTTAGTGACCTTTATTAGTTACAACATCCTCCCCCAAAATGGTCATAGGATGAAAGTAATTTATAATCCAAATTGCAAAAACAAAATGAGAGAGAAAAATAACAAAAAGCACTAGTGATACTATTGATACTTTTATATATATATTTTAATAAAATACAAGTAGTACATTATATTATTTCGCTATTGTGTTATTTATACAGTATTGGTAATTAAGATCACTCCGATGGTTAGATTACTTTAACTTTTAAAGATAAAGAAAAAAGTGAAAAAAATGAAATCAAATTCACAGTGAAATACATAGACCGCTGAACCCTCTATTCAGTAAGCCAGACCTGCTCTAGATTTAATGCTGTTTCTCAAACTTGGCAAATTTTAAGATGAGTGGATTTTAACTCCCAGAATTCCAATTCTTCTGAAAATTGAACTCCAACCATCTTAAAGTTGCCAAGATTGAGAAATACTATTTTAATGAAAATAACTGGGAATTGCATGGTGGACAAAAAAAAGTATGATTGCTATTTTCCCATTACAATTACCTCAATGAACTTGGTGCTAATTTAATATTTTTGAATTGTTTTTAGGCAATTATTTATAAATATTTCAGTACTAAAACATTGGCAGGTACTGTAAATAATGTAGATGAGAAGTAGCCAAAACCTTTTTCCCGAGTGAACTTGTGATTAAAAAAAAGTTAGGCTTGCATGATGTATTCATAGTTACATTAAACTTAGTTAATGGGGAAAAATACAAAATTTTCAGGTCATCCAGTTTGTGATTCAACACATCATGCAAATCCAGTCATCAAAATGTTCCAGTACAGATTTGAGGAAGAAAAATCTAACTTGAATTAAAATCTCAGTGCCTACTAGATATTTTTTCATCCTACACTCCCCTCTGTTACAGCCCAGATTAGATAATCACCAAACTACTAATAATTTATAGCAGGAGTGTCTAACCTTGGCAACTTTATGACTTGTGGACTTAAACTACCAGAATTCCCCAGCTAGCATGAGTTGAAAACCACAAGTCTTAAAGTTGCCAAGTTTGGATGCCCCTGATTTATAGTCTTTTAAAACTATCTCAGTTGGTGGCCGTTATTATAATAAATCATAGTGAAATCAAAGTGTTTCCCAAAGTCTTTCTTTTATTTATTCCAGAATGTCTTATCATTCAGTTTCACTGGATAATTTATAACATATGTCACTTCCTTTTAAAAAAACAACTAAAAATCCAGAAATACTGTAACTCTCCTTATAAAGGCACTGATCAAGCTCTCTCATTGATTTAGCTTCCCTTTCTTGACATTGATAATCAAAAAAGTATACTTAATAATGATTATATTTAATGTTCCAGATTTGGGTACATCACAGCTTTGCTGAAGGATTATGGTAGTTGTCTTTGCTTTCCTACTTCCCTAATATGGAATTTGCCCCCGCCTGGTTGTTGTTTTCTGAACAGTATTGATGAATGCATGATATTGGGTCCCCACTAAGTTCTGACAACGCAATCCATGTGCCTGCTGAGATACGTTCTTTGGCACCTATCAAATTCCTGTTCTGCCTATTTTTTATTTTATTAAAATAATGCATTGGAACCTGGCGTGCTGCAAAGCAAAATCTAGCTTCAGATAAAATCTGCATTTCCAAAAATGCCTGTAAGTCAGAAATACATCCTAGAGGCATTCTTATACATTTAATTAAGAGGAGACTGCAGCACATCTGATTTGTTCATTTATTTCTGTGTGAAACTTCCACACCTGATTGCCGCAGTAGATGTCACAAATCATTTTGGCAGAGTTACAACATACACTCTCAGTATTCTGAATGTGCTCAAACAGCTAGGGAAGCCATTATGACCTCAGATTATCTTAGTCACCAGCTGTCAGCTCGGACTCCATCAGTGTATGAGTGAATTTAAAGATGGGGGTGGTAGGGAGTGTACAATTCTTGTATACTTGCACTGCAGGGCACTTGCTGATTTGTTCCCACGCTTTGGAGATTAGCTTTTTGGAGCTCTCTGCATTGTCTTTTTGTAACTGTTTACATTCTAAAATTATGTGTGAAAGGTCCACCAGCAGAGATTGGTGCTAATATATAATCACGTTCATGAAAAAGTGAGAGGTGCAGATACGTAAATATTTTAAATCTTTGTGTAGTGTCATATTGTTGGAAGAAATATCCATCTGGTTCAGTTCCAAGTGGGGAGAAAGACACTGGAAACATGGAGGCTGTTTGAAAAGATGGTTTATTGATGGACAGGACCACATGGGTTTTAGGACTTGGGCAGCTGAACACATGGAGTGGAGAGTGAGGGTTATTTATACCCTCTCTTGGGCCTTACCCTTGAGCTTCGTGTTCCTGTGGCAAGAGCATGTATTTTATTGGCTACAATCAGACTCCCATGTGGAGTCATTATGGTCTGAATCAAGCCTGGTGGAACCTTGGGCTGATGTAATGTCCCCAGGTGATTTTGCAATTCAGTGAGCCCTGCTGCTAGATGGGTAGAGGGCTAATCCTATTATGTCCTAAGGGGTCATGTCTTAATCCCATGACCCTGGAGCTGGAGGTCTTTTTTTATCTTGTAGATAGGCTGGCCCAGTCTCTCTTAAGGTGCACCAAAATATCTGCTGGGGGCAGGGAGCTGGGTTTCTGTTTCCTTTAAGATTTTTTATTTCTCTTTTAGGGGAAATATTTTATCCTGCCTTTTTAATATTTCCTAAAATATTTCATTCTTCTAGGAGGGGTGGGTGCTAACTTGCTACAATAGGCAGTCTGGTATAATTAGAAGACCTTCTCCTAAGCAAAATCATCAGGTTATATGACGGCAATTAGCTTTCCCTTTCAGTTATATCTCATCCAAATGTGATTTTATTTTTCTCAGAAGCTGCCATCCTTCGTTTCCTGCCTTTTTCCTCCCTTCTTTATCTCATGAGGAGTTTTACACACTCTGGGCAGAAAGTTCCTATTCTCAAAATGTTTCTTATCAGACTGTGCATGTATATACCATGTTTCCTTTCTCTCTTTTTATCAGATTACATGGAACAATTTGGCCCTTCAGAGGGTCAAATGTTACTGCTTTCGGCCAAATATTTCATAAGTTGGTTTAAATGAGATTTCCAAACAATTGTGTAAGTAACACATAAAACGAAAGAGAGGAATCGAGGGAGAAATGGCTTTCATATAGAGAGCTATTTTATTACTTAAAAAAAAACACATTTAAGCCATTCTTCAAATATAAAATTCCCAGGACGCTATTCACTATAAGATAAATGAAATATAATACCAATAGATTTTCAAAAAAGAAAATATAAGACTTTTCAACCAGCAAGTTAATTTTTTCAGTAAGTGTACCATCTTTTTGTCTAACTGAGAAGTCAAAGCAGCTGGCAACAATTAAGATATAGAATATTAAAAGCTAGAAGAACTAATGCTAAAATTAATTAGTAATGAATTATCATAAAAATGCATTTTGGTTTCTCTGCAAAAGCTAGTGATCTCCAAGCACAATTCCTGAAGCAGTACATTCCAGAAGTAGTTAAGATTTAAAAATCCTCGGAGTTGAGTTTGATTCTTGATGACTACATTGTCATGCTGATGTGATGTTTTTGTCAGAATGCAGAATGGTTTGCCATTGCTTTTTTCCAATTTCCATGTAGAAAGCAAGATTTTAAAATTAACTGAAAATGCCTGTCAGAGGGAATGAGTTCACACTGATAGTAATGCTGAAAAGAAAATATGAATATATTTTCCTATTAAGGAATGACACACATAAAAGAAGAAATAAATGCATATTTACCATGTTTTCCTAATTATGTTTATAGCAGAACTAACTGGTGGCTAGTTCAAACTGGTGGTGGAGATGTAGGATCCAAGATAAAGAAATGAGTGGATAGAAAATGGCAACAGTTATAAATGCTTGTACAATGGGAACAGATAGGCGTGGAACACAATAGGGTCTCATCCAGCAAATCTAACTTCTGGTCCATCTAAGCGTATTTTTATGCACTGACTAGTGGTGGCTCTTGAGGGTTGTTAATTAGATTATTTTCTAGTTGTACTACAGTAGTAGCTGTCAGGACCTGAGCTTCTGACAAAATCGTTTTGCTTCATGCAAAACAAGACCTCTATGCGTACTGAAAGTGTACTTGCAAAATGTCTGGAGACGTCTGTGGAATTGATGGAGCTGGAAACTTGTCCCCTCTTTTTGCAAAGATAACAAACATCCCTGGCTACTTTCCAACCTCCTTGTGCCCCCTCCAATTTTAAAAAAATATTTGATGATATTGGCAAAGTTGATGTTGGATATAGCCTTTCCTGGATGAGATAATCTTTCTCTTATGCTTCTGTGGGAAGGATATACTGAGAATCAAGGAGAAATAAATAAATAAGTTTCCTGATTTTAGCACCTCATGTCTGCCCTAGTGTGAAATAACTGGTGACATGTTAGTCTGTCTGATGAACATTTCACAGCTTCAGGCAAGCCATAAACTTTTATCATGTTCCAACAATGGAACTCTTTTTTTGTTTTGCTTGAGATGAGGTTGACAGATTGCTTTAATGGGATACACCCTTTTTTCAATAATGCAAAATTAATCCTCATCTTGTCTGGGGACTTACGGGGAAGATTATCACATTTTTCTAGCCATATCTGAAGCAAAACAATAGCATATTTCTAAAGATTTTGGGGGCAAGTCTAAACAAAATATTATTTTAAATATTTGAATCAAGAATAACTTCAAAGATGATTAAAAACAAAAACATAAGCCAAAAATTCTGGTAAATCATAACCATACAACTGAATAGTAAAAAAAATATACCAGACTAAGGCTAATGTACCCTTCCCCCATCCTGTTGCTCTTAATCCTCTTTTTAAATAGCATCTACTGGATCACATGAAATCAGGATTAAGACATAGATTATATTGTCTTTTGATATCCATGCTAGCATAAGCACAGAAGGGCATTTTGCCATTTTTCCAATAGAGGAAAAAAATATGCCATTTGAATTTAAAATAGCAGCCTCATCTTAAGAAATAGCATGTTTGCCTCTTTCAGCTTGATAAACCTTTTGTTGTATTGGGAGTAAAAACATCAGAATTCCCAGCATAGAGGCCATTTGAAGGAAGGGCTGCCCTGATCTTTTAGGAAATGGTCAACAGCCCTTTTTTGTTATAGCTTTTTATTTATCAGTTTATATAATAAAATACAAAAGAAAAGAGTGGGAAAATAAGGGAGGGAAAGGAAAAGTGTAGTGCAAAGGGAAAAAAGAAAGGAAAGGTGTTACTTCTTACCAGAACATGCACACACAGTATGAAGGCCAGAATATGTGACTCCTTGTGAATGTTTGTAGTTGTATGTATACTTTGAGATGTAAATTCCACATTAAGGCAACACCTCTTTAGGTCAACTCAAAGTCACAAAGTAATTCTCTGAAGGCTCAGAGGGATGAAGAAATAAACAGTGGCCGACTTTCACGTCATTGACCTGATTAGATTTGTAGAAACGTTTTTAGAGCTATTTTTTTTTAGTTTATTTACAAACTGTTTGCATTAGAGGAATATGCATTGAATGTATATCTTATGAACAGATATATGAGTATGGAATTTCAAAAGAAGAAATAACCTGAATACTATCCTTCATAAACATCTGATAATATCACCATTTCCTAGTTCAATGTACTGTTTAGTATGTTAAACAAATCTTAATAAGAGAAATATGCAGTTCTTCAAATTGAATCCATTGGTATGGATGGAGGAAACAGATGGTATCTGACTCCACAACGGGGAGTAGAAGCTTGTGAAGCACAGGCTAAAGAGGTCACCCCAGAGAAGGAAACAAAGGCACCCACTGCCAAAAAGCATTGTACAGCTGATTGAATTGAGAATATTTTCAACTATTTTAATTTGGGTACTAATGTTAGTTAGTAGTTCATTAATTTGTATCTCTTCTAGGTTGCCTACATGTCTATCATACTATATCTAGATAAAAGTCAAATCGTGAAAATGACCCCCAGATACCTTAGCTGTGCTCATTTCCAGATGATGCGTTGCATTTCTAAAGCATAAATTACTCGTCTCCTGTTTTTTCTTTCTCCTTTGATATTCCCATTAAGACTTTTTCTCAGGGCTATCAAGGGAAATCCATCTGCCAAGGGAAACCTATCAGGTAATAATGAAAGGCATGGTCTTTCTACTAATGACACACTATCTGTGGCACACTATCCTTCCTAGTTCCAATTGGGAATGGTCCTGTCTCTGCTGAAAATTAGATACTCCCACTGATAATATTATCTATTTGGGTAATGGAACATCTGCAAGCAAACAGTGAAGTTCAGAGAGCTCCAGCAACTCCTGTTGTTGTTTTTTTAAATGTAATTAAGGTCTCAATGAACAGTATACATTTATTTATTTAAAAGATTTGCTTGGCTGCCCATTTTAGAACGTAACTCTGGGTGGCTCACAACAATTACATAAAAGCAACATCGTACAAAAAAATAAAGGTTAAAAAAAAAGCAATACAAACAGAAACAAAGAAATCTGGTGCCACAACAAACTCCCTTCAATGGAGCCGATAGCGCTGTATTCCAGATTCCAGCATTTTTAACTACTCTGTAAGAACATGTTACCTTTATGATTTCATCCTATAATTTTATTGATTTTTGTGGATTTGCATCCCGTTTGAATGTCTTAACTAAAAGTGGGATTCAGCTATTTGAATAAATATGTTTTGCATGTATATAAAAGGCTTTTTGTGTTTCTTTTTTTAGGGGATGAACTGGAGTATATCAGGCCCAATCTTTATCGAAACATAGCACGGCAGCTAAACATCTCTCTCCATTCAGAAACTGTGGTGACAGATGCATTCTTGGCTGTGGCCACTCAAATCTTTTCATCAGGTGATGTATTGAAATGCAAACTATGGGCAAAGGAAAGATAAAATAGAGAAGCCAATGTGTGTAGAGCATAGCAGTTGCTGGTCAGTGGAGTGAGTGGAGGCCACTTAGCAAAAAATATCACTGGCATAAGCAAAGAGGCAATGGATGTTGCATTAAAGATATATTGTAAGCCAAATGCACATTTTTCTTGAGTAACAAAATATTTTAGCCTCTCCCTGTTTTCTGTCTTCCAGAAAGGGAGCCTCTTTAATGTCAAGTACTTATTTTTATATGTTCTTGGCAGCTGCTATGCTACAGACAGTTCTGTTTTTCTCCTCTTTTTGGTTTGTGAGATTATATATGCTCTGACTGCAGAATGAGCTTCATTTTTACGCTATTTGTTTCTCAAGTAACAAAGCAGTCAGAAAAGTCTAGAGTGTAGACATTCCTGTGAAGAGGCAAACCCAAACAAATCATGTTTAATCTAAGGTAACTTCAAATACCCAGTACTATCAAGTCAGAGATGCATCTTTCATATGGGTGTTCATTTGAGGTGTCATCTTAATTACTTTAAGAGACAGTTGGAAAAAGTGGAGAGAAACTGTCTTCTATTATTGTTGTGGTTAGCCGATAGCAGGTGCAGACAGCTGAGGAGAGCGAGGACTCAGATGAGGGCCAGGACCATTAGGAAGTGGACTGCTGCCTTGATTGTGTGGGCTGGCAGCAGTGATGAGGAGGTTCCCGAGGAGCCTGTGCCAAGTGCACGTGCACGCAGGATTTCTCAGAGGAAAGAACAGTTACAACAGCATGGGCAACTCAAGAGTAAGGCTGCAAGGTAATGGCCCCTCCTTCAAGAAGATAAAAGCCAGCTGTGAAGCTAACTTTCTTTGCAGAAGGCAAAGAAGTTTTGAACTCAGCCTCGTGGACATTATAGTTGGTATTTGAAGACTCTTGTAAATTATTTCTTATCTGATGTTTGCCAGACTTGAAAAAACTTGGCAAGGCTCTTTCTTGTTGGAGCTAATTAGTTGGAAGCAGCCTTTTATCTGTGAAGAAACAAGATTCTTAGCTGAAACTTAAACAGATTATATTGCTGCCTTTGTCTTGTGTTTGCTCTCTTGGAACCAGGTTTGGGTTAGAACAATTATAAGCAAGACATTGTATAAACTGGTGTATGATATTCAGTGCTTATTTTAAGGTAAAATTACATATACTCAACCTCTGCTGTTCTCTGTCAAATAAATAGCAAGACACAAGGAGTTGACTCCAGACTAACTACTCCATAATTGTCAGTTTGGTAGGATAGAGGTGACCTTCCACATCTTCTTTCCATCTGCTATTCTATTTTGATATTCCTTATATCTACTATGAGCACAGATGAAAGATAACAATAATCATTCCAGTCTAAGACTGACTGAAACTTACTTTCCATCTTTTTATACCGAGCCTGCCAATCCCAAAATGATTACCATTTGCCATTACAATTTATTACTAGTTGAATGATTCATGTAGGGTTTATAAAGTATACCGGGTATACAAAAGGCAAGGGTTTCTATGCTGTTAAAATGTTCTGCTGAAAATAAACCATTGACTATTGACCTCTATGTAAACTATATCTGTTAAACAGGATCTTTCTGAGATTCAGAGTCTTGGAACAGAATTTTCATCATAGACCTCTCGTCATTTTTTTCTCGTGCCTTGTGCCAGATAATAATTTCTCTGTGAAAGAAGCTGATGAAGTTTTATTTAATTGTAAAACAATAATCTGTAGTGACATTAGAATTAATAGAAACATGTGTTAAAACTGTACGCCTTAATATGGAATGAAAAAGATTGTTTTGATTTAGTTTTACTTGAAAAATGTAGGACTCCTGCAAACTGTCATATTTTTCCTGTTTTTTATAAACTATTATGAGCAATGTTTACTCATAATTACAGTGCATTTTTCCTGACTTAACACACTGAATATGGATAATTTTACTTTTACTTTCCTGACTTAACACACTGAATATGGATAATTATTTTACTTTGAGCCTGAATTCTATTACCTTCTGTTTCTTTTGTCATGATTAAAAAAAACACCAGTTTAACTAAACCACTGGAAAGCTTGCATATTGTTAGATTCGCTGAATGCATTGTCACAACTTTCTTTACTAATGTTATATAGAGCAAGACAAGAGCTAATTTTTACTCTTGGAATTACTGTAAGAGTGAGGCTAGAGTTAAATGCTATTATGTCGTGATTGCTGTGGCCAGCTGCTTTCTATTCCAGGGAACACTTGTCAAACACATTCCTTTCAGTGGGCAGGTTCTACTGGATATAAATGCTTTTATATGTATTTTCACATGTTACATACAAAAATAAAAATATGCATATGAATCAGATGGGCTCTTTGGAAGCTAGAAGTGAAACCCTTCTCTTTCAGACATCTGGAAAAATTATGAGAATTATGAAACTGATGGATTTTGTTATTTTTTCAAAAACCCCAATAGAAAGATATATAGCTCAGGAAAAATGATACAGGGAGTCCTTAAGTTATGACCACAGTTCAGGTCAAAATGTATTTTACTAATTGAGAAGTTTGTTAAGTGAGTTTTGCCCCATTTTTTTACTTTTCTTGCCCCATTTATTAATCACTGCTGTTGTTACATTAGTAACTAGATTATGAAATAAATCTGGTTTCCCCATTGCCTTTGCTTGTCAGAATGTTGCAAAAGGGGTCACATGATCCCAGGACACTGCAACCGTCATAAATGTGAGCCAGCTGTCAAGCATCCAAATGTAAATCACATGATGATGGGGGGATGCTTCAATGGTCAAGTGTGGAAAATGGTCATAGTGCTGTTGTAACTTCGAACGGTCACTAAGCAAACTGTTGTAAGCTGCGGACTATCTGTAGTAATAGTATGTATTACTGGGTTCAAAACAATTATATTCTAGATAAGTATCATAACCACTGTGGAATTAGATAACTACAGTACTGATAAAGGTAGCTCCAGAAGAGATTGTAGACCATAAAAACTATTTATTTTAAATTGAGGCCTACTCCTGCCTCTACATAGTGACCAATCAAAGTGAAGGGATTTACCTAGAACAAAGCAGGCATATCTTGAGCTGGAACGAGCCAGAAAATCTCACTTTCAGGAAAGCATTGGCAGAAGTTACATTCATAGTAGGTTGGAGGTGAATAGAGGATTACAACATCCATTCCGGACCTCTCGAACTATGGGTGTCCCATACTCACCAGAGGCAGTTGGCCATGGAGACTTACCCTCTGTCAAGTGATACTAAATTGAGCACGATCTGAATTAAAATTTAGATTTCCAGAACACGCTAAGTTAAAATAGTTGACTTATTTGTTGTGGCTTATTATCTTGAACAATTCTGTACTAAATAAAACATGGTTTGGTTATTCAAGGTTAGTAAGTATGTTATTCTTACTATTGTAATTTGCAAGTGGTGAGGTGGTGACATTGAAAAGGAACACAGGCTCTCTCAGTTTTCTCTCCCTACCCCCTTCTTGTAATAGAGTCCATCACAAGTTTGTTTTGGACTGGAATAGAAAGCTGTGCACTTTGATCATCAAGTGGATAGGTTTATTTGTACAGTGAAAGGAAGTGTAGTTTTTGTGAGCTCAGAAACTGACCAGACGCTTATCCACGTGGTTTCCTGGAGATTTTCTAGCATCTAGGAGAGCTAAGCAGGGGACCAGTTCTCATTTATTTTCTCTGTTTTGCTCCATTTGGTATTTACATACCTCAGCTCAACAGATGGCTTCCATCTGTCTGCTCTTAAAAAATAATTCAGCAGGATCAGCTGTTTTTCTGCTCTCTCATAGTTTTGCAATAGAGGTTGGTTTTAGAACCAGTTCCTTTGAGCTATACGGAGCCTGTTCTCCAAGCTGATTTCTTGTTTGCAGCTGTTAGGAAGATGCTTATGTAAAGAATGACAGTTTTGCCCAGCTGGAATCTGACCTGGTGGCATTTTTATTGGATGCAGTTTGCAACTGCTCCCACCGCTTGCTATGTGTGGGTGGACAAAGGAAAGACAAAGTAGCAAGCAATTTAAGCCCACTTTATTTAGGCATGGTCAGTGGGAGGGAGAAGATGGGGGTTCTTCCTCTTCCCAGCAATCTTAAGGAGAATGGTGTGTGTGTGTGTGTGTGTGTGTGTAATTAAATTCCCTGGCTGACAGCTTTTGTGGCCACTGTGTGTGTGTGTGTGTGTGTGTGTGTGTGAGAGAGAGAGAGAGAGAGAGAGAGTGAGAGAGAAATTCTATATATGCCTCCACTAAGAGATGCATTTTTTAAAACTATTGTAACAAATTGTGAACTTCATTAGAATCACATACTAATTTTATCTCTAGAAATAACTGTTTGGGGATAACTGGCTTCTACTTTTTTCCTGGCCTATAATTTTTATTTTTTTATTAACCATATTGCAGCTTTATATAATATGTACATTTAGAAAACAAGAAGTTGCAGCAAAATTATATTGGCATATTAATCACTGCTTAGACATAATCCTTTAAAAAGATATGTATTTCTTTTAAACCTAGCCTAACAATAATAAAATAAAATAATAATAATAATGCAGGGAAATAAGATATCAACCAGAGAATGAGTGAAATGTGAAAAGAAAAAAAAAGAAAGAACAAAGAAAAAATAAGTAAATATCAAAACCATTTGTATTTATGATACTCAAGCCTTAAGCAACAAATTAAACCCTGACCATGTGGAATTATATTATATATTACATTGTAATTGATAGTCATGTGTGAATCATGTAGATCAGTCACATATCATTAAATCATCTTTTAGTTATTGCTCTAGCACATGAAAAGAAAATTCTTTATACTTCAGTAGGTTCCTAATTTTCAGAATGTAGAACCACAATTTTGGCAATCCTCACCTATGCCTGAAATGCTTTACATTGGGCTGATATTATCTAGAACGCTCTTGTGTCTTGCCCTTAGCTTGGGTTTAGCTCTTTCATGTGTAAGACAATGTTTGTTTGTTTATTACCACCCCTCCCACTGATGAGGCGACACTATATCTGCTGTACCATGCTTTATATTTGTTAAGAGAATGAATATTAATTGGTGGCATTACATAAAATATATTGTACTGTAAAATCCAAATCAGCTGTTACCTCATTTATGTAATAAACGATTTTGTAAATAAATGCTTAAAAGCAAATTGAGATGGTGGAAGGAGATGAGAATGGAGATTGGGCTGTTCCTTGGTAACTTTAACTCTTCTCTGTATCAGAATCCAGAGTAGGCCCTAGCAATTGCATGCGTCCAGATTTCTTATTGGAGCAAACACACCAGAGGAGAGAGGGGACAATCTAGACCTGACCCAAAGCAGGATATTATATACATTTATATATACTTTTATAAGTTGTCCCCATAATTGTGTGAATGGCATCTCATCTAATTGGATTCTTTAAAGAATATTCAGCTTGTATTTTATTTTTGGATTTTTTTTGCCAATATGTAAGACAGAGCATTTATTTGTTGAGATTTGAAGTTGCCATTTGTCAGAATGGTCAAACAAATGGCAACTTCAAATCTCAACAAATAAATGCTCTGTCTTACATATTGGCAAAAAAAATCCGAAAATAAAATACAAGCTGAATAGTCAAGATCTTGTTGATGATCCAAGCTCTGTAAAGGACCTTGGAATACTCACCTCTAATGATCTAAGTGCTAGTGCCCACTGCAACTACATAGCCAAAAAGGCATTAAGAGTTGTTAACCTAATCTTACGTAGCTTTTTCTCTGGTAATATCACACTACTAACTAGAGCATACAAAACATTTGCTAGACCAATTCTCGAATACAGCTCATCAGTCTGGAACCCACATTACGTATCTGATATTAGCACAATTGAGAAAGTCCAGAAATATTTCACAAGAAGAGTTCTCCACTCCTCTACTCGTTGTAGAATACCTTATGCCACCAGACTTGAAATTCTAGAACTAGAAAACCTTGAATTACGCCGTCTTCGGTCTGATTTAAACATGGTATATAAAATCATACATTGCAATGTCCTACCTGTCAATGAATACTTCAGCTTCAACCATAACAACACAAGAGCACACAACAGATACAAACTCAAGGTTAACCGCACCAAGCTTGATTGCAGGAAATACGACTTCAGCAACAGAGTGGTCAATGTCTGGAATACTCTACCTGACTCTGTAGTTTCTTCCCCAAACCCCAAAAACTTTAACCTTAGACTGTCTACTATTGACCTCACCCCTTTCCTAAGAGGTCTCTAGGGGGTGTGCATAAGCGCACCAACGTGCCTACCGTCCCTGTCCTATTGTTTATTTTATTTTTCTTTTATTTTTCTTATATGTACCCATCTCATGTATTCATAACTATGTATACACTTATACTTATTATCTTGTAAACAATTGACAAATCAAATCAAATAAAATAAAATAAAATAAAATAAAAATAAATAAATTGTTCTTATCCAACAGCAGCTATTCAGTCAATGCCTATACCTGGGGAATGATTACAAAATAGGCAATGTTAATGTACCAATTGGGCAAGTGACACTGAACAACAGTTGCCAGAATATGTGAAAATAAATTGTGTACACATAATTTGATATAGACTCTGGCTGCACACCTATCCAGCTGAACGGTCTAGTGTGTGGTGATAGTGGGGAGAGGGGAAAGAACAATGTCAAATGCAAAAATACTTGCCTGAGGAGGTTACCTAAGCAGGCTATAGCTACCTAACTTTGTCATTTTCCTGCCAGCTCTGTACTATGTTTGATTTTTGCCTCCCTTGCTGTAGGAATAACATGGGGTAAAATTGCATCTCTCTATGCCGTGGCAGCAGGCCTTGCTGTGGACTGTGTGAGACATGCCCAGCCAGCCATGGTCCATACCATTGTGGACTGTTTGGGAGAGTTTGTACGCAAGACTCTGGTGACATGGATGAAGAGGAGAGGAGGCTGGGTAAGTGGCCCTGTAGAGTTACACCTTCCTTAAAAGCATGAGAGGACAAGCTTGAGATTGTTACTGGCAGAAATCAAATTAAATGGATATTTCACAGGAGGACAAAGTTCTTCTGTAATAAAACATTGTCTGTCAGGCCTTAGTTTGAATTCTGACTATATTAGTTTCTCCATATAGCTTTGAGTCTGATCCATTGGCTGCTTTCTACTCAAGGTTTTAGCCTCATTTCATTTGTTTAATTTACTACTGCTGACTTGTGATAAATCCTTTACCAGCAATCTGGCAGGAATCATGCAAAACTCTATTAGTACATAGTCTATAACATATGCAAAAATGCTGATTCTTCTTTTCTTTTTCACCACAGGCAGACATAATGAAATGTGTAGTGAATACTGATCCCAGCCTCCGCTCCCATTGGCTTGTGGCTGCCATTTGTAATTTTGGCCACTTTTTGAAGGCCATCTTTTTTGTGCTCTTGCCAGAAAGATGATATCTAATTAACAAAACAAATTCCATTTTCTTCTCAGTGACAAAGAGACACAGTGAAGAAGTAACAAGATGACTTTCCTCTATGCTTTTCCAGCAATGGGAAGCCTTTTTTCAGTTCACGTTTTATACCAAGCATCTTTGTGCTTTGAGATTTGCACAGATCTCTTCACAAGGCTGAGCAATGGAAGAACTTGCCACTCAGTTTATTGCTTATAAATTGTGTTACATTTTAATGTACTAAAAACACAAGGAAGCTGATATGGAGTTGTGCAAAGAGGAAAACTGTATCCTAAACTTTTTGTATTTTCCAGTTGTGATTTTCACAGTGTTATTCATTCTGGATTCTAAATGCTTGGTTAATGATTGCTAAATAAAGAAGAGAGGGGTTTCTCCAATATACTGAAATTTAGTTTAAATACCACTTCCTGTCTAAGAAACTAAACTGGGATTATATAGCATAGGTGGTCAATCTACATATCCATCTTTGTATTTTCACACCTGAGGCACCAAGATATAAGGTAATGTTTTTTAAAAGCTATTTTTAAAGTTGAATAAAAGGATCCAGAGACATCAAGCGCAACAACTTTTAGAATGCAGCAAAAAGATGCTTATTTGGAGCATACAACATTTTAATGTAAGGTGCATTTGGCAAATTGTGCGATTTGATTTTAATCCTACTGTAGCCCATGTGATAACAAGCATGACAGAAGGAAATCTAAGCCTGCTTTGATGTCTAAAAGCAAATAAAGAACTGTGTATACACAATGAAGTGTATAAACATCTTAAAGATACTCCAATTCATTTTGTTTCTTTCTATTTTGTAATTTACATTGTGCAAAATGCTGGTAAATGGGGATTAGCAATGAAGATTATCCTTGAAATTCATGAAAACAGCAAAGGGCTTCTGGTGTTAAACCATTGGAACAGAATTTGAACACTGTATATAATGAAATGTCAACTTGAAGAGGTTGATTTATTGTGACTAAATAAAATACAACAGAGCATGAAGAACATGACTTCTGTAACTCTTTGTGATCACTTAATCATAGTTTGGGTCAAGTGGTCAACAGCGGATCTTAGATTTGTGGCATCAGCAATATTCCAAGTAACTACATAACTGCCTTTCCAAAAAGGATACATTTTGGGATTTTTCCATGAGCTTTTTTCTTTCTCTCTGGTTTTTTTTTTTACTCAATTTTCTTTCTACAAGGAAGGAAATGGAATGGAATTTCCAGGAGTGAAAATTGAGTTCTATTCTGATGAATAAAAAGCAAGACAATGTCTCAACTTCTTTATACAAGTTCTTTTCACCATTCTATGGTTTAAAAAAGAATATTTGTATACGCTAATGTTTGTTGAAGGAGTCCTTATAAAGCCAAATTGATGCAGGGAGGAGTAGGCTTGAAAGATCACTAAGAGAAGAAATATATATGTTGAGTGTGGAAAGTGGGAGGTCATACTCTAACATCGTGAGGAGAAATTGAATATTTCAGCTCCAGAGCAGAAGCATTGTACTGCTACATTTTATGAGATCTGTTGCTATAGATGCAGAGCCCTAAAATGTGTGTGTGTGTGTGTGTGTGTGCGCGCGTTGCATTAAGCGTGAAAACGTGCATTAAATGTTCTTAAATATTATATATATGATCACCAAGTAACATGACAAGATCTATAAGAATTATCCTGAGTTAAGGAACGAATGGACAAATATAAGGGCAATTCTGCCACATTAAATAAAGAGAAGCTGGATTTGTACAATATGTTTAGTAAAGAGCAAGTTACACTGTTAACCATCTGTGACTTTTTACATACGGTAAGTAACTCTAAATATTAAATATATTCAGACTGGTGGTTATTTAGAGTTTAACTGATGGCAAGTCTAAAATGTTGCATGAGAAAGGGAAGAAAAGTGTCCTATGCTTACTGAAGTTTCACAAACATGGCATGAGAGTATGGCAAATGAAATCAGTATCAATCCAGATTAGCCATGATTATTTGGGTACATTCTTAAGAAGATTCTGATAATTATTGAATTCCATGACATAAATTTATTTAGACGTATGTACTGCCTTACCATCTCATGGTGCTCAAGGTGCCTTTCAGTGATAACACAAAAATAGCATGAAGGTTTCAAACATGCAAACGATAACATTAAAAATGTAAACCTTGTAAAAATATGTTAAATCAATTTCAGGGGGCCCATTCACATTTCAGGAAATGAGCGGGTAATCGTACACTTAACTGTTTCAAAAAGTCCAAAGTAAAGAGGCCTGTTGGAAGTTTATTCCAAGCTCTGGCTTTATTAAACTATGGAGGTCTGCCAATTCATCTTTTACAAATGGGACTGTCATCAATCTTTCCTTAGTAAATCTCAGATTGTAGACATTATTAGGCAAAATGCTTTCAGATACCCTGGTTCAGAACTGTTTAGAGCTGTGTAAATAAATGCCAACATCTTAAATTAGGGCTGGCAGCTAGTATGCTTGCAAAGTAGTAGTAACCTGCTCTTGTTTTCAGCGCCAACATCTGTTTCTAGCCATAACCTTCTGCACCAGCTGTACTCTGGATTTTTATAACATGTACAACTGGGGTTGTACTATTTTCTCTACGGTAGCAAAGACAGAGCTGATTGCCAGCCAGATCTGTGCCTCTTTCTAAGCAAAGATCATATGCATCTCCAGTGATAATTTGACTTTCCAGAGATTCCTAAACTCAGTCCTAGAGAGAAGTGCTAGCACCAGAGGGGTGGGGAACCACTTCCTGGATTTCCAACCTGCCTGACCAGTGAATTGCTAAACTTCCTGGGTCCATTTGCCCTCATCTGGTTTGTCACCATTTGTAAACACTGATCAAATATAAGCTGCTTTTTCAAAACTATTTTAAAGGTAGTTTAGTTTTTGAAGAATTCGGAAAAGGAAAATTGACTCATTCCCAACAACTCAAAACTCTGAATTCTCTGAAAAAGGAAGTAGAAGCAGGAAAGGAATGATTCAGTTATTCACTCTTAAAATAAGGTTTACAGCATCTCCCTTTCATTTATGGACAGTATCTTCTGTGCGGGTTATTTTGGGAAATCAGGACTTCCATCCATATGGGCTTCAAGTATAGGGGCAAAGGACTCCCAAGCCACATTTGGACATGAACTACAGATTCATCATTGGTCATTTAGCATTAAGCAGGTAGTGGTTACTATACTACTATCATGATGTAATTAACAGATTTGAACTTTGGCCAGCATTGAAATAGAATCATCTGCAATCTCCCTTTGCATGCAATATTTATTTGTAAATCCAAATTGTACCAAAAGAAAACTCCCAAGATAAAATCCCTTTAATTTTCATTATTTTATAAATAATACATTTTGGAAGTTTTAATGCATCCCTTTGCAATTATTTTTAATTTCACAATGCTGCTACAAGTCACACCTTTAAAAATAAAAGCTTTTTTATTGGCTTTCGATTTTGTTTGGTTTTGTTTAAATCTACTATTACAGAAACTGAAAATAAACTCCTTCAGCAACTGCAGTTCTACTCTTGGTTATGAATTGGGTTGTGAAGATGCAACGTCATATTTCACTTTCAATCTACTTCAGTTCTCTCCATGCAATGTCTTTTTCTTCATGAAACAAATCCAACTTTTTAAGGAATCACTTTTTTGTATGTTATATGAAGGTGCTGAGTCATTGGTTGCGTAGTAGTTGACATAGAGACTGTCTGTTCTAGTTTCCCCTCAGAATTGAGCCTGAATTTTCTAGTAATCTAAAAAGAATATAAAAAAGACATTATGTATTATTGGATTCTGTTTAGAATTCAAGAAAACAGCAAAACAAATTAAGATGAAGGGACATAAATAAAAATGTTCCCAAGTACTACTGTAATATGCATACTTCAAATCCTCGCAAAATTCCAAGCAGGATATTGTGGCTTATTTCAACGTTTATCTTTTCATTTGACACTTATTGGAAGGAGGAGGAGAAACCTTTTTAGAAGACTTCTGAACACAAACCAGAATATTGGTATGTAATACAAAAAGGACAGACTATTGGGTACCCTTAGAATAAAAGTACAGAAATCTGTCAATAAATCATGGTGATCTCTTTGCTTTGCATATTTACATTTGCTTCTAATTTGTCAAGTTACAATTAAACAGTTGTAAGTAATAAACCTAATAGTAATTCTTAAAAAGAGAGGTAGAATAGTTTACGATTAAATACCTTTGAAAATTACAGGATATTATGTCAAAGTTTATTAATAGCCCATCTCACCTCAAAGGATTGTGGGGAAAATAGGAGGTGGAAGGCTATTAGGTATGTTCATCACCTTGAGTTATATACAAAAATAATAAAGGCTAGATCAAAATAAATAAGTAAAATAAGTTTCACATACCAATACTGGTCTGCAATGCTCATCAAATTCTAAAAAACAATTCTGTTTCTCATCTAGATTTTGAATCTATTGGTGCCCTTTGTTCCTTTGAAATAGTTACTTGTAGAATGAGAATGAAATACCCGGGATTGCAAAACCCTCCCCAAGAAATTCTGCCAAAAGTTGTTCTTTTGGGGCAAGTATTCAAAACAACTTGCAAAACAGTTTGCCTGGTACAGATGCATAATAAAAATTGCACAGTAATAACATTAACAGACCAATGTCTATTAATGGACCAATTATTTTCAGGGATAGATTATGAAAAAAGACAACTACTGCAATAAAATCTATTTTTAGAGATTTTACTCTTTTTATATCCCAAATCAATCCACTGCAAGATAAAGGCCTCTTTAGTGAAGTTTATGGATCATAATCTACAAGGCTAGTTCTGTGCAGGTTGACAAATAGGTGTGTCCTGGTTTCCCAATCCAGAGCTAAGACTAGAAGTAGAATTTGGGGATTTGGCTTCTACTCCAGCACCTTACACCATATTTTCAATTTCTGAATTGACTTTTTGGGGTGTATGGTTGTGAAATTCACTATTGTTACATAATTACTAAGAAATAGTATAGTAAATATCAAAACAGAGCTCTTCACTTAAGATTCACTTAAAGATATAGAAAGGGGGAGACCTGATTCAGAGTAATAGCTATGTAAAAGAATTTGGACCAGCAAATTATTCCAAACTTTAAGACTATTAATGTGGCTGCAAGTGGCTGCAAAAAAAAAAAAAGCAAATGAAATTTTAGATTGCATGAACAGTACTTTCATGCAGTACTCACAAGAACTGTTTGAATAAAGTCAAACTCTATCGAGTATTGTGTCCTGTTCTAAGCACTTCACTTATTGTGTCCAGTTCTGGGCACTTCACTTAAGACTATTTGAAGCTAGTTGAGAGAAAGGTAGCAAGAAAGATCAGGAGGGCACGAACTACGTCCTGTGAAGGGACATTGAGGGCACTGGGACAGTTTGACCAAAGATTTTGGCTAAAAACTGATAGCTGCTATAAATATCTTTGCTCTTCCATAACTCTAGAAATCTTTGATCACTAGTTAAAGAGAATAAGAATGCTACTACTCCACTCAAAGAGAAACAAGATAACTTTAAAGCAAACATTTTAACTTAATTGTGAAAGCAGCTTGTCTTTTGTCTTATGTGATCAAGCTGCTCTCAGCGTTTTCT